CTTGTAGGCTTGAAAACATGATAATCTTTGCATTTTGATTCAACTTGTTTCTGTACTTTTTTGGTGATCCCTATTCCCTTTTTTAAATTAACAATTTTTAATTACCTTGTTAAATATAATGATAAGATAAAATTCTAAAAACTTTTAAGCTCTGGCAAAATTAGTTTAAATAGTTTGAAAAACTGATTCTTTCTTCATACTTTTCCATATGTCAGTTATTAAGTAAAATGAAACTTACTGATATTTATTTCAGATTATAGTGATAATACTTTTTGGAAGTATAAAAAATATTTGTAATATTAATGTAATGTGTTTCTGACCTTGTGCAATGAGTTTTTTTATGTTATGTAAATACAGTTGGAAATACTATACGTGAATTGTTTTGAATATTTGTTGATTTTTTTTTTTCATAAAAGTGAAATTTCACTTTATTACTTTTTTTCAGAAGTGACCCACTTATTTCATTGAACTATGGTATATTCTTGTATAATCTTGGCAATGAAAGTGAGGCAACAGAACAAATTAAGCAGTTTGAACAACGTTGGCTAAAACTACAAAAAGCTGGAAACCTGGAAGCAGATCCAACCGTAAGTGGTTAACCCTTTTTTGGGGTGAATTTCCGTTATAGAAAAGAAAACGTTTTTAGAACTTAAACTAAGTAAATGAACCATAGGAATACAGGATCGTGTAATTTTATTGTTATATTTTAGCTCTTAATGATTGCAGAATAATTCTAAAAACCTAGTACCTCTAGAAACTACAGATATTAAAAAGAAAGTATACAGGCTAACAAATCTCTTATTATGTATCGTTCTGTTAAAAATTGCAAGGGCTACATGCATGGTGTAACAAAGATGAACAAGTCAACTAATAAGTGGAAACTAAGCTTTGAATAGCTATTACAACAGTCAAAAGTTCATTCTTAGGGTTTAGTTGTATAGATGTTAATACAGTTATAAGTACTATCTAATTCTTTATTGTCATAGTGTGAAATATTTTTAGATGCCTTGGATATCTTTAAAACCATTGTTCAATCTTATCACTTGGCTGTTTGCAAAAGTGCTGTGAACTTCATTCAAATATTTTAACCCTTTGTTTTTGCACATTTTGAATTGACCTTTGTTTCACTGAGTAAAAGTAATAGAAGACAACTTTCTATTTGTCTTCAGTAAGCTTCTTTGTATATATATAAATAAGACACAGTACATTTATGAATTACAGAATGTTTTCTATGATTTCAGGTTATTCAATCAGCTAGTAAGTTGGCTGAGCTCCTTCAGATTACAGATCGTCCTGTGTGGCGATACGATGCAACACAACCGGCTCTTGACCAGACTAATGCTCCTCCATTATCAGAAGAAAATTCTGTTGATGCAGATAATGGTGAAGAGAAATAAACACTTTTCATGTATAGAATTGTGTTAAGCAACTAAGATATAATTATAATTTCTTAGAATGTTTAACATTATTACCTAAGGTTTTCAAATCACAGTATCATTACAAACTATAAGCACTAAATATTTTTTTAAAGTAAAAAAAATGGTTCATTAATCAAAAAGAATGATTATTTTAACCTTTTATGTTTATTGTTTATAAATGTTATTAAAATTTATAGAAAATATGCTGTGATATGACAATAATGTATTTTGATCTTTAATTTTAACAACTGTTTCAGAAGTCTGAACATGATTAATCAACAAAATAAAGTGTGAATGTAGTAGATTTGTTATGACAGACATTTCTTTGATATTGGATAACATATCATGTTAGATTAAAATATCTTGTAAAATATTTGTCACACCCACTTTGCTGCACATTTCACGTTATGATGATTAATATTCATTGTGAAAGTAGGTCTACAGATATAACATGCTTATTGTATTACTCACTAAGAGAGTGGTTTGATTCTTACTAAATTTGTTTATGTGCAGACATAAGAAGTTCAGTAGTAGAGGTTCATAAGTTGATAAGATATAAAAGAGATTGATATGAAATCTCTGTTAATTACAGGGTCCATGGAGGCTTGTAAAAAATTAGAGAACTTGATTTCACATATGTAATTTTACTGAAACCAAAAAGAGATATACAAAACAAAAATTAAAAATCTGATTCTGTCAACTGTTAAGCCACACCACAATCAATTGTATGTTAAGCACCCTCTAACTTATATAATTTTGAAATTAAATGCATTGTTGATGAATTCATTACAGAGGTTTTTATGATGATGATAATTTTGCTGTTATATTGTCATTTTACTTTTTAGCAATTAAATGAAAACTGTTTATTGCCAGTAGAGGCTTCATTTATTGAGTTAAAAAAGTTTTGTAAATAATATTTTTAAATTTTATGTTTGGAAGATTTATTTTTTGCTGGGTTATGAAGCACAAAATGTATTTGAATGTTTAAAAATATACTTTTGTTTATTTGTAAGAAAGTTAACCTTTCTAACTAGGACTTGCAGTTTACTTAATAAAGCTTCTCAAAATCTGCCCTTGAAATTGAATGTGTTACTTTTACTTAATAATGGAAAAGCACAACAACAACAATTGATCAGATTTTATTATTACACATACAAAGTACTTAGATCCTGAAGCTATACAACAAGAGGTACTTGTGGCAAGACACTTCATCAAATATACTCAAAATCTGTTACTGGTATAACTGACGTAATTAATAATGTGTACCTCTTTCCAAAACGGAAGCTTCTTGGCAGCTCAGCAGGAAGTATGAGGGCTTATCACACTCAAAATGTGGTTTTGCTACAAATAATGGGCAAAGCACAGATAGCTCAATGTGCTGCTTTGTGCTAGTCATCAAACCAAGCAAAATATGGTCATTGCTTAACCAAATAAAACACAAATGACCTTTAAAAGTGTTTGAATGTGCATATTTAGATGCAGTATTAATACTGATGCATTAGAAACAATATTTCTGTGTATTAGATCCATCCAAAAAATATCCATTAAATGTAGAAAAATAGTATTTATTGTACTAGGACATCAAAGTATATATATGCACCAGTTCAGTTTAAGATTAGTACATTTCTTATAATAGTTGCTGTATTGAAGAATTATAGCGTGTAAAGATTTGCTTGGAATATGCCAGTATATGCAAAAGTGATGTTTAAAATAATGTTTTTTCTAACTGGTATTATATGCACATGATTGTGCTTGTCCAAGTAAAAATATATTTGCTGATTTGTTCTACAACTCAATTTAACATTTAACACTTTAGCATAAAAGTGCCACGTGATGATATTTGTTTTGTAATAACAGAAATACCATATAAATTAAGAGAGACTAATTTAACTAGTTTTTTGTTTTAAAATGTTATTTTATATACTATTTTGTTTTTAAAATATTTATTCAATAATTTCATATTAGTGCTAAGTATTACATTTTTTTGTGCTTTTGCATAAGTGTTTCATCCACACAAATATGATATTACTCATTTATAATAATATTATTTGAGTTGTGATTGTGTTTCAAAGCAACTGTCAGTAAGTAGACTCTAAAAAAAATTTTTGATAAGTCAATAAAACATTTTAAATATGGAGAATTTTCCTGTATGTTTACATACATATAATAAGGCTTAGTTACTATGTTTTTGCGTGACCTTACATAAATGTTTGTAAAATAATCCTTTTCATAAAATATGATCATTATTTTTGTAACCATTCATGTATTAAAGTATCACCAGTATGATTTATTATGTTTACAGTCCTACTTTTGTTAAAGAGATGAATGGTTAGAAGTATTTTTCTTGTAACTATACAGATGGACTAAAAACTAATTTTCCACAAAATATACTCTGGGAGTTTTTGTTTCTTAATCCAATACCTAAACAAGAAATTTATTATAATTAGTAATAAAAAAATACAACACTTGAAATTTCTGGAACCCCTTTAGCATTTGTGATACAATGATCACCTATTTCAAACATAAACAGCCATTACACCGTCAATCAAATCATAGAAACAATAATTTAATCTAAACTTTGTAGGCTCTGCACAGGTTAGGTATTTTAGTGTTAGTTACAGTGCCATTATTTTGCAGTTGGAGTAAATTAACACAATATTGCTTTAAGATTAAATTAAAATCAGTTTAAGACTGTGGATTCATTTGCTAAACTGACATATTTTTGCTGCAAGCATTGCCCAGGGTGGATAGGGCTAGGTAATAATTGCCTTTGACACATCCCTTGGTCCAATGCATCAACCTACCAAGTTTGGTTGTGGTTTGTCTAAAGACCACAGAGTAGTTCATGGGCAAACAAACAAATTTTTTACTTTTATATATATAGACATGATTATCTTGGAAAATGACTTGGATTATAATGATTTGTTACACGTCAGAAACTGCAAAACTTTAAACATCCACAAATGCAGGAGACTCATTGATCACCCTGAGAAAATGGTTGCAACCATTGTTAGATTAAAGAAATTTAAACTTGGAGAGTTAACATTTCTTTTCTCAAAACATGTTGAATAGATCATTAAGTGCTGCTTTTGTCTAGAAACATTTTGCTTCACTCTAATACGGAAAAAACCCAAAAATAATGGGTAGAACTGTTTGAAAGAACCAATATTATTGTTGGAAATGAGGTCTTTGAGTTTTATAACAGAATTGTATGTGGTTTTATGTCAGATGCATTCCTTAATATTTAAAAAGATACTTCATGCTGGGCAAAGTTCTGTATGACTGCAAAACGTGATTGCGACACAGACAGTGATGGTCCTGAATAACTGAAGAAATCAAGGTAATCTTTGATCAGCATTCACCTTATTCCAATAGACTACAATACAGTGTAGAACAGTATAAATTTGGATGACCGTTAGATTTCACACAAAGTGGTTTTGTCTTCACTAGAAAATACTTAAGTGCAAGTTAATTTATGTTGAGTTTATAATTGACATGATCTTATGTAAAATGAAAAAAATATGTTAAAAAAACAGAAACTTTGAATACCATTGGAAGTATGGAACGTCCTATAATGTGCTCACCTATTACTGTACCGGTTGCTGCCTCAGTGAACTTTGAATAGAAAGTTGATACAAATTCTCTTTCATCTTACTGTTCTAAAAAATTCACATTGAAAGTTGAAATATACTGGTATAAAAAGATTTCTTAAACTCATTCCTTTCCATCAAATGAGGACAGTTTTTGTTTTCAAGCAATTGTTTCCAGATTCAGAGATAGCTCAGTCTAAGATGTGTGGAAACTAAAACCATGTACTTATCTTGTTTTGGAATCACATTCTATTTTGGCACTTTTTGCATCAAATAGTAAAAAATGAGCCATTTGTTTTGCTGTTTGACAAATCTTTAGACAAAGAATTGCAGAAAAACAATTTGATATTCGACTAAGTGAAAAGTAGATACTAAATACCTGATTTTTTAAGTCTTGCATATGTAGTAGATCTTTTGGAAAGGAGATTTGGTTTCAGATATTTGTTACAATTGTCAATCGATGGATCAAATGTTGACTGTGTGGCTTTTAACAGGCTTGAGAAGAATTTAGAAAGAGAATATGAAACAAAATTATTGGATGTAGGATTTTATGGATTACACATTATAAACAATGCATTTCATGCAGAAGTACTTAAAACTGGATGGGATATTTCACATCTGTTGTTGGCTTTGCATACTTTATTTGATGACATTCCAGATAGATAAGATCATGTTCTCTTTACCATTTTGTTCACATTATTGGGAAAAAAATGTTAAAAAGTTTGTGAATGAGCACTAGAGGTCCATCCACATACTCTGCAGTATATAATCACAGTTGAAAATAAACAAAGTAAAAAAAATCCAAGAACAAAATCTTGTGAAACTGTCGAACACTGGTGTATGCAAAGCTACTGTTATGTGTGATCTCAGTTACAAAACCAGTGGAATACATTTTGAAACTTTATCAAACATATAAGCCTATGTCACCATTCTTAGGAACAGATTTGGAATTTTTATTGAAAACTTTTGTGTGTAGGTTTATAAAGCAAGGTGTTATGGAAAAAGCTATCACTGTTCAGAACCTAAGTACAGTTGAAGAAAAAACTGCAAAACATACAGTCAAGTAAAAAATTGGCTTTTATTCACACTTAGAATTAAAAACAATGTTTTCCCAGTTAAAAGATAACCAAGAGACATTTTAGAATTTGGAAACCACTGCAAAGACTTTTTTACCTGATTTGTTCAAGAGGTTGAAAACCTAAGTCTTCAAAATTTGTCATATTTATACTCTCAAAGATAAGTACAAGTAGAAGTGATGGAGATATCATGGAAAAATTTAGACAAGTTATTCAAGTTTTGATATAGTTGAAGTAAATGATTGTGATCAGTTGATGACTAAGTATAGGAAACTTACTGAAGAAGCAAAACTTGTCGAAAACTTTCAAGATTTTTAGGAGGAATGATGACTTCTTTATGGATTCTTGAAAGATTAGTTTGCTTTCCATAGATGCAGATAAACACCAGCAAAAGCTGAGGAACTTGAGTTTTACTCAATTTTACCAAAGTTAACAATCTTACATAGAAAGCAAAGGAAAAGCAAAAGGCACATCTCAAAATTAAAAAGGAAGTGGGTGAATAGATGTTACAGTTGACAAATATATGGAGTTAACAACTGCAATACAATTCTTTGTGACACTTAAGCATTTATTTCAGTTGATATATTTTGAATTTTTAAGATACTTCAATAAATAAGTGTATGAACAATTTCATGTTATCTACTAATTGTAATAGGCACTAGCCAAGTAGATATAGATGTCACTGAGAATTGGTGATTTTTTTAACACACTTACTCTTCTTGAAAAGTTGGAACTTTAGTCATTATTTAGTTAATTGATACTTAAGATTTTAAAGCAATGGCAATGACTATTCAATACTTGCTTTCTCAAGATTTTGCTATAATTACTTGATGTTAATACAATTCAAGAAACATTTATGTAAGCAGTATTTCTGAATTCATAATTATTAAACTAAATGTGCTACATTATGTATAATAAAACAGCTGTTATCCTCAAACTGAAAAATGTCAGTTAGTTCTCATATTCATACTTTTGAAATGCCAAAAGTATAGGAATAAATATATTTGATTTAGCATAAGACAAAAGTATAAAACCTTATGGCCCAAGTACTTCTAAGGGTTGGCTTGTCTTCATCAGAGGCATCATAATTAACCTTATGGTTGCGGGGTTGACCCATTTGGCTACTTCCACTATGGAGAATGATACACAGTTCAACAATACTTACAATAACTCTGAGCTTTCTTAACATATCTTCACAACACTTGGTAAGATTTTGTTAAAGATTACAAGTATTCTGTACAAAAAGAATGAGATTATTTTAACTAAAGATTTGTGATTTTTTGTATTGTAGTTATTTGTATTTAGACTCTCAACGTTTAGTGTATTATCATCAATGTATTGTGCAATGAAATGTTTAAAATTAAAAATAGAAAAAAATTTACATACCTTTTAATTTTTTCACAAATAATCTTAAAAAATATTGTTTTGGTTATATTCTTAATTGTAAGTTTTTACTTTTTCATGTATAGTTTATTTTTGATGTTATCTTTTCCTTTCTTGTCCTTTAGCATTATTACTCATCACAACACATGTCAATGGGCATTCTCAGGCAATATTAAGGTATCCTCAGCAAAGACACTTTAGCCTTTGTCAGAATGTTAGGACATTTGCCTACTACACTAAGCCTGATGGACCGAGGCAGTTTGGCTTATATTTTTTAAAATTATTAAACCTTTCTAATATGCATTTTAAAACATAAATAACACATAATTAACTAAGATATAAAAGTAAAACCTAAATACAATTTAACTGTCTATCTAACTAACATATTTATAGGTGAGAAATAATGCTGAAGTGCTAGCAAGGACAAAAGCAGCAACAATGCTAAGAGCAGTTTGACAAGTTCTCTATGGAATGTTTTGCACAAATTTCCAAATAACTATTGGGAGATCATATTTTAAAATGTGAAACTTCTATTGGTTATAAAGATCTAGCTAAACTAAGTACAGTTTACTGAGAAATTGCAACTCTGTGTGCAGAAAGTGGCTGTGTCATCTGTCAATAGTTCCAAGAAATTTGTTTTGAAAAATTTCAAAACATTTTTGTTAACTTTTGCATCAAACTGAACTACTGGACCTTGAATATTTCTTGACATACACTAACCTTCCATGTATGTGTAGAATCTAGGTTAATTGCTCATTTTACACATTCTTCTTTCAAGCTCATTAGGACTCATTCATATAAAACAAATTTCTTGGAACTATTGACAGATGACACAGCCATTT